CAGGTTTAATAACTTTTTTCTTATAACAAAAATAACTGAACATTTAAATGCAATAAAGCAATACAGAAAAATGTATAAAGTTAAAAGTTTTACACAGATGAAAGTGCAAAAGAACTATACAGACCAATAGGTATCACTTTACAATAAGACCTCATTAGTTAACCTTAGGTAATGCATTAACATTCACAATCAGCAATAGCTACATTTGCTACAGAAGTTATTAACCTTTGTTTAAAAAAATACAAGTCTTAGTTCATGTTATATATTGGAATACCTAAGATTAATGAATGTTCAGAAGAATTGTTCATTGGCAGTTTAACTAATTAATTAACTAATGTTAACTAATGAAGCCCTAATGTAAAGTGTGACCGAACAATAAAGAATCAAAACACTTTCAAACAATATCTAGGGCATGTTGTAGTCCAGATTAAAATGTAAAAAAAGATTGAAAATAAATAGCCTATTAAGTCTAAATATTTAAGTATTTGGCGCTGTGATGAACATCATTGCAAATACACAAATCTGAATGGCTGTTTAAATCATTTAAACACGATTCAGAAACAGAAAGTAGTGCAGCTGCTTTGTTTACAGGGTTTCCGGGGTAACGGCTGCATTTAAATGAATTATTATTATTATTATTATTATTATTATTTCTGCAGTTTAGCGCCATCTGCTGTCAGAGAGTGAAAGTGCGCTTTCATCCAGAGTGTCTCTCACATGTTCCGCCATGTGCTTATTTACATCAGAGTGCGCACGCGTCTTTCACGCAGCATACAGCAGTGTTGTGCATTTTGACCAGTTTATGGGAAAAGTATTCTTAAAATGCATTCAAAATTCTGAATAATTTGTAATATATAATTATTCACGGTATTTAGAAGTGCCCACGATAACAATATCGTGCATATTCATTACCGTGATATATCGCATTACCGAATACCGGCACAAGTCTATACACAAGTCAGATCAAACGCAGAGATGAGAGACACTTTCTGAATGCTTTCTGAAGTCTGAACGCTCTTTCAACACCACTCTTTCACCAGGAGTCTCCGAGGATTCAGTCTGAGTAAACAAGATTTATGAATAGAATATAATAAACCAGAAATGAGTGACATTACTGAAGGCAGGGATTTAAAAACATGGTTTTCCCAACATTGTGACATTTAGTTCAAGTGATGCCATAATCAGTCACTATTCCTACAGCACACACACACACAACATTCCCTATTGAGTCTAATGTCACAGCTATGCAGTCCTGAAGGTTTTTGTGTGTGTGTGTGTGTGTGTGTGTGTGTGTGTGTGTGTTAATCCTCACCACAAGACAAGGCTGAATCAGGCAAGGGCAAGCCAAGGGGAGGAACTACAGCTGGAACTGTCTACTGAAGTTTAGACACAAGTTAAAGCTGTTAAACTGTTTTCTATTGCAAATCCACATCAAAGTAGTACAATATCAACCTGAAGTGTTTCTCCTTTCAAAAACCAGATAATCCACTATGTTCATCCAGGGTTTTTGTTAACTAAAACTAAAACTATTAAAAACATGTTCATCAATTGAAATAGAGCTGAAATTAAAAATATTAGAGGAAAACCCTAAACAAACAAAAATCTGAAAATAGGTTTGCAGCACTTCTCAAAGTTGAAGCACTAAAATTGGGAAAACTGGAAATAAATAAACTAAAACGGAGCTAAAACTGAAATAAAAATAAACCCAAACAGAAAAGTTTTAGCACATCACAAAATGACTAAAAATTAAATTAAAATGAAAAGATAAAAATGCTAATTTAAAATATTAATAGAACCTATAATAGTAGCTATATAAATAATACTACAATTACATTATTCAGCTTCTGGAATGCATTATGGAATATGCACGACAGGCAACTGTGACAACTTAACAACAGTAATTTTTACTGCAGTAAGCAATATTTTTTAACATCAAATTACTAGGACAATCTTATTCCGCTTGTTTGTACTTGGTAAAAACATACCGCTATAAAGTCACAAAACATCACAGGTGCAACCAGAAACAAAGGTGTGCGACTTGTTTCACCTCTTGTGAAAAAAAAACCACACACACACACACACACACACACACACACACACATAAACAAGAATTTACAACCAACTCTTGAGGCACAACTTGCTTGCATTATGCGTTAAATAAAAGTGATCCATGGTTAAAATATAGATTGTGAATGTGATCCCAAAAAGGTAACTTCATAATAAGCCTACACAATACAATCTTAACACTGAATAAACAATTAAAACTCTGCAAACTATAGATTCTTATTATTGATGGTGAATAAAACGACCAAATTCAAACAACAACAACAAAAATCTCTGCTGCATTTTTCAAGTCATGTCAACAAAGAAGAAGCCAAAGAAATCGTTTCAGCACTACACAAGATCATTAGAATAGACTTACGAGTGTGCGTATAAATAACTAGGTAGTTTATTAACCATGTAGTTAGTTAAGCAAATAACTAGGATTTTGTTTTAGTAGTCATGGCTCCATCTTGAATCCACACAACCTAGAACAACCTGTGTATGTCGGAGCTGGCATAGAAACAATGTAACTTACACAACTCATAATAAAACATACTCAAAACATAATAACCCTTTATATGCTAAAAATAAAAAATCATAAAACATATAAAAAATAAAGCAGCAACAACATGGACAGTATTGTGAAATGACACATACTTCGCCTTTAGTGTCCAGACGCTTTTTTCTTCCACACCTGACAAAACACACTGCCTGTGTCATATTCCGCTGGCGTTAAACCGATCATAATCCCGTCTCGTTATCGATTTCATAATGACGGCTCAGTGCAGATCACACTTTGAAGATCCGGAGATCTCCGACGCCACTGCGCTCTCTCGCTCACCTGAGCAGAAAGGTGAGCTCGATCACAAGCCCCGCCCCCACTCTCTACACCCGAGCCGTGATTGGCTGCTGCTTGGGCGCTTGCTCACTCTTATTTGAATATAGATTATTTTTTAATAACATTACAGTTATTATGAAAGGTAAACTAACGATCATAGTCCAACAGAAATTAGCTAAATTTCTTATTAAGTGTCCTTGAAGTAACTTTGTCTTTTGGAAATCATATTTCACATGTTACAAAAACAGCATTGTTCCATTTTAGAAACATTTTTTTAATTGTACAATCATACTGTACAAACAACTTGGCCATATCAAAACATCTTCACATTACAATATACAGAACAGGTGCATACAAATACAACAGAAAGAGAGAGAACAGAGAGAGTACAAAAACAAAAAATAAAAAACTTTTCTTGTAAATCATATTCTATAATAATAGACAACAGATTTATTGCATTTTTCTTTTTCATCATTTTAAGGGCTTTTGTATACAAAACAAACTCATCATGAAATGCATAAAAGTCTGGTTTTACTTTCAAGTACCTAGATTTATGTATATCAAATTTCCCCAGCATAAGGATGCTATTGACCAGAAAATCATCTTTGTTATTGTTCATTTCAAGTCCATAGATAATGTCCTTTAGGGTGAAGCTGTCAAGGTAACGTACCTTTGGGTAAAGCCAGTCATGAATATCAGACCATGAAGCATCCACATACTTACAATGAAAAAACAGATGATTTAAAAAGAATTTCTTTAATTTTGGGAGATGAAGGAATTTTTATGTATTTAGTTCCAAGAATATGGTTTCTTTTTGGAAATTATAAGAAATTGAACTTCTGTAGACGACCATAGGATAAGAAAGGTTGTTAAACATATTTCTAATAATTTTGTTTGAACATTTTAGAAACATTGCCAAGTTACGAAACATGTTACCTGTTTCTGCTGATTTTCCATTTGCCCACCAATTTATTTTATTTATTTGCCTACTTTCATCACGTTTAATTATTTATTTATGTATTTAAACAAGAATACGTGTATTTATGCACACATTTATTTATTTATTTGTGCATTTATTTATTTATTGTTTTTGCAGGTTTCGTCCTCCATATAATCACACATTGAATTATTTATATATGTATTTAAACAAGAATACGTGTATTTATGCACACATTTATTTATTTATTTGCTTATTTATTTATTTTTAATAATAGGTTTGGAGCTCCATATTACACTAGTTATACAAAAGAAAATCAGAAGGTTATTAAATTTATTTATTTATTTATTTATTTACACGCGTACTGGTGAAAAATGTATAGCCTTGAATGCATTGTAAGTCGCTTCGGATAAAAGCGTCTGCTAAATGCATAAAATATTAATTATTAAACTATTTATTTTAAATAAGATTCAATGCATCGACTGTTTATATAATTTTTTTCACGTCAACCTTCAAAGTTAATCACTGAAAAATATTCATGCTGAATGTTTGGAAACAAACCCCAGAGGGCAGCAGACCATCACTTACTGTGCATCAAGGTCCTCTGAAAAACATCCAAATTCAGTTTTGTTTGCAAATCATTCTAAAACACTATTAATAACAAAAGCAGTTCAACAACAAGTATAAGCAAAAATAACTAAAATAAAATAAAAATATATTTATATCATCTGCAGGTCTAAGCACCAGGGGCTTATACTGTTAGAGTGTGTGTGTGTGAAAATGCACAAAGTTTCCTGTAAGGGGTAGGTTTAGGGGTAGGGTTGGTGTAGGGCAATAGCACATACAGTTTGTACAGTATAAACACCATTACGCCTATGGAGAGTCCCCATAAACCATAAAAACAAACCTGTGTGTGTGTGTGTGTGTGTGGAGCTTGCTCAGGTTTAGTTTTTTCCTCCCTCTGCTGAACAGCCTGTACACACTCACTCATCTGTCAAGATGCTACAGAGATGCAGCAGGGTTCAGTTCATCACTCTCCGTTTAACAGACGCACATCTGCGAGAACTCTAGTCACACCACTTACTTTTTATTCAAACAAAACATATCGTCAGAGGTTTTTTTTGTTTGTTTGTTTGTTTGTTTTGTGCAATATACGAAAGTTAAAGGTTTGAACACGGACATATTGTTAGCTAATGGCTGAAGCCCGCTATGATGATGGAGATGAAGATTTTCCAAATGTCGCCATTACGAGGAGAAGAAATTCAACAGGTAGGACATATTAGGCTAATTGTTTACTAAATATTAAAACTTTATGTGACAGATTTAAGATTCGTGCTTTAGTTTCAAAAGACTGAACTTCTGGGACTTTCTGGACTTTCACTTCATTGATCCTTAGATCGATAGTGTATAGTCTTATCGCAAATGTACGATTTCATTTCATTTATCTCTTTAATTTATCCAATTATGAAATTGCATTATCACTAAAGTTACTTTGTTTTACTTTGTCCCTACTTTTTGCAAACACTGATATTTAGGAAACATAAAATCAAGCAATGTCTAAATCAGCCTTCATCATGATGATCATCTTTCCATATTTGTGGACATTTATTTACATATTGATATATCAGCTTATTTTATATTATTAACTTAGTAGCAAGATACGCTGGAAAATATAATGCATTCCTGCATTATTAACACTACCAACAACCCTGTCAAATGTTTGAAACCATCCTTGAAAAGCATTCTGTATTCCCAATTAATTCACTCAATAAAGTGAATGCAGAATTTGACAAAATGCTGAATTATTGTTATGGTAAAAATGGCTGTATTATAAAGTGTTTTTTTACATGTCAGTTTTGTCTTTGATGTTTTAATTCATTTTTTATGTTTATTATTTAGCCTAATAGCACTGTGCATTAACCAAAGTAAAACCAATCAAGAGTGGAAAGTTATTGCTCTCCTCAGCATTCATCTGGGTGTATTGGTGAGTCAGCTGTGAGTGAGAGGAAAAACAGCAGGTTACAGCTTTCCCCTGAATTGACACACAACAGGTGACACAACTGAGAAACATGAGGCAGCAGTTGTGCTTGTTGCAGCCTGTGCAGCGTCAACTAACGGCATACTGTCCTGTCTTTCATATGTTCTTCGGTCTTTCATATGATTTGTTTTTTATGTTGGTCATGTGACAGGAAAAAAATAGACTATTATTTTGGTCATAAACGTAAATAAGAAACTGGTTTCAGTGGGTACAGATATGTATATAATATACAAAGTGTCTGAAGCCTTCCTCATCTCTTCTCTACTTAATAAAAGTCTCCTAAAGTCTTGAAGAAATGGACCAGTTTCAACATGTTCTAGCAGACTATGTTATCAAAGCATTATCTGCTGACCTGCCAGGAAAGCCCTGTGTTTTATAAAAATGTTGAAAATGTACAATATTTCAGCATTACACAGTATTAGTTATGGACTTCAAATTTGGTTTTTGAGTGTTGTTCTATGCTTCAATGGCTGTGATTTTTCAGTGACCCTTTCTGTACGTTACATTTTTGTGCCAGTAGATGGCGGCAAACAACGTCTTTGTGAGTGAACCATTGACAATTCACTCCACCGATTTACCCAATTCGTTTTTTGGGAACAAAATACCACTACTGTGTGTTGTTTGGAGTTTCATATGGGAGTTTTTAAAACATATACACATGAACACAGTAAATCACACCTGCTTCTCCAACTAAACCAATCTTATGCCTTGGCTAACAAAAAAAAGTCTCGGTTTGCTCAGTTTTTGATGGTGACCTATTTTTTCTAACAGGGAAGTTGTGACTGTTTAATTTGACTCAGGTTTGCATTTTATTTTAATGTTTTGTATGTCAGTGCTTTTACAGTATGTTGGTGATCATAAATAATCATTAAACCAACTTGCTTGGTTAAATGTGCTGTATGTAATATAGTGGGTATGAAAGTATTTCACAACTCTTCCAGCATTGCACTGACCGAGTGTCTGGTTAGAGTTTCGTTTGCTTGTTTTGTCTTCTGGGAATGTTCTGTGTCCAGTGTGACTCTTACTTTGACATAGTTAATCATCAGTGACCTCATCGGCTGCTGTGTCTGTGGCATTTCACATTTAGAGGACTGACATCTGTGTGTTTGACTGCTGGCTTCTCTCAGATTTTATATATCAGTATAACTTTTTTATTTATGTAGTATTTACATTTTACAGTAGAGGTTTGGAATGGTATGATGGTAGGTAAATGATGACAGAATTGAAATTTTTACATGAACTATCCCGCTAAGGTGTGCCAGTATGTTTAAATCTGCCGTTTTCTCTATGATTGGGAATGAGGTTTTACCAACAGGCCTCTAGCACTGTCAGAGTGGATTTAACCAGTGCCGTTTGCTGCAATCTGGAAGACTGATTTCAGGTCAGTGTGAAAAGGTTTTGTCTCTCAGTACAATGAGTGAAAGAAAGTGTTGGCCTGCACAGACAGGCTTTACACACAGAGACACTCTGTCAGCACAAATCTATCCCATAGTCTGTTCATAATGCTTATCAACTTGTCTAAACAAGGTCTTTATCCTCAAAATCCATGTCTCACATCATATGTTTCCAGTTGAGAATGGAAATCACTTTGATGTCTCAAAGTGTCAGAAAGAGAGCTTTCTTTTTACTCCACAAACTCTAGTTCTCCTTCGCTTTTTATTTCTCTTAAAGGCCCTGTTTACACCTGCATAAAACACTTAGACAAGTCTTAGACATTAGTCACCCGATTTTGGTCATAACTTGTTAAAGTCAGTTACATAAAAATGTAGATTGGTCTGATTTGGATGTAAGACTGATTACCACTTGGCTAACTTCTTGTTGGTCAGACTAGCTATTAACGGGGTGGCAAATCAGCTATTTTCAAAGGCTTGATTGATTGTGTTTATGGGGTGCACTGTAACGTGTTCATGCTTCGTTTAAAAAAAAAAACATATTATTTCATGTACATTTTTGGGATTTGTGATGTCACCAACCCAGGAAGAAGCTCCCTACCAGCCGTGTGTTGTAGGCCTTAAAAAGCAAATCCTGTAAAACAAAATATCTCCCTTTGCATTGAACTTTCAGCGTTGTAACTTTGCAGATGTTGTTTATGCTCAAACAGCAACATTACACTCTAACTAAAGTCAAAAAAAGTGAAATCATAATCATGGACCTCTTTATGACACAGTCTTAACATAGTGGCTGTGTTTATGTAACCAGCTCCTGGTATTAACATCTATCTCATAGCAAGTGGTAGGCAGAGACAGATTGCCATTTACAGTAATCCTGGGATTACTGTAACATGCATCTCCTGTTGCCCCTTGTGATCAAATTACATTGAGTTTTATTTTGTCACCATGCCAGTCTCTATGTAAATAAAACACCAAAAGTTGGCTCCCATATTTGATGTGTATCATTCTCAGCTGATGTCAGGCATGTGTGAATGTTTTCATGTATGAAGATTAGTATAAACCATGGATGTATATTTATTAATTATTATATTAATGATTTTTCCATATTCATGTGGATTTCGGAGAAGTATGACCCACACAAAGGTGTGGCTACTGGCAGCACTGCACAAGTTAGTGGCGCCATCTAGTGGTTGTGTGTGTGTGGCGCACCCATAGCATTTCAGCAAGGGTCCAAAATTAACACTAGCTGAGGGCCAAACGCAAGTTAAAATCACCATTGATGAGGATATGAAATGGTGTTACTTGCCAGCTGGTCAATAACTTTTGTATGCATTCTAGCAATGCATGGTTTAGATTATAAAATGGCAACGTCTGACTAGCAAAGTTTTAGAGTGAAGCATGGCACTGTGTTCTTTTACACACGAGCAGTTCATGACTTGCAGTGTCTCCGAGCAACTTGGTTCACAGGAAAATTCTGCTCCACACGAACTCCATCTCTGCAACAACTGTGAGTTTGGGTCGCATATAACATGCATTTGAAAACACAACCCACTCCAACCATCTTCCCAAATTTGTAATGAGAAGTCTTAAGTTTTCCCTGTGACTTATACTCATATTTTTAATTCTCAGTGAGTATTTAAATGTGACCCTGTCTGTGAAATCCAGGCTAAAGTCTCAAAATCTAATTATGAGATAACAAGCATTAAAGTTTGTTTTCAACCATTAATTCCACTATGATTCCAATCTTTGACATGGCCTTACTCAGTCAGTGTTAAAGATATAAAGGTTATATTTTCACAGAATGTTCTACATCTTTATGAAGGATGATTTTATGTAGAAAACAGTAAATCACAAAAAAATGACTTTAGCTGGGGTTTCACAGGCAGAGTCACAAATACTCAAATTCTCATAGCATTTGCAGATAGATAAATAGATAGATAGATAGATAGATAGATATAGATAGATAGATAGATAGATAGATAGATAGATAGGCATAAGCTGTCATTTATGCATAAAGGATATGTATTTCAGTTGCTGTACTTGTTTAGTAGCATTTTTAAAGAACTGGTTAAGACTATTTTTAGAACCAGTCAAAAATACATAACCAACATTTGAATGGAGTTTGTCATTTATTTTTACTATTTATTTTTGCTTATTGCAGTATAAATTAGCACCACCAGTCCGTTTTCAGCATGTCAGGCCTGATTTTTGTTATGACCAGAATTTCCATAGGGAACATAGGGTATCTTCTCTTGTAATAGTTTCTATCTCGCTATCAGTACAAAACTGCACCATCTTCCTGGAGCAGTAACAGTGATAAAGCTGACGGTGTAGTGCAATATCAGGATGTAATTCTTTAAAACAGTGAACCTCTCACATGATTAAGGTGGGCATCTGTACCGATAGGGAATATCTGTGATGTTTTTACATGTTTGGTTAACCATTGTTTTGGTTCACTAATGTCAGAAAAGAAATACTTCCTGATTGACCGCATTCCTGCATGGCACCCTGACTTTGTCAACATACCTAATGAAAAAAAGAGACGTCACTTTTACCAGGAGTTGTGCTTTCTCTCGCACACATTTGAATCAGAAGGCAGGGAATGAGTCCGCTTACTGTGCTCTCCAATAGGCAGGTAGGACTATATATTTCCAATAATATCCTTAATAAGTAATGTGTCTTGTTTTGCAGCTAAATGTATTATTTATCTTTTAATAATACAGTGATTTAAATGATAATAATTTAGCAAACTCAAAACACAAATGCTATTATGAGTGAGGTGGGTTATTTCACTTTCTCATACTTTAACACACACACACACACACACACACACACACACACACAGTGAGAGCAGAAACTGGACCCAGCAGGTGTGTCTGAGGACAGTGATAGGTCAGTAGACAACTGCAACAAAGACACACAAAGACCCCTTTGCCAAAGCAGTCATTGTTTTATGAGTTCGCTTTCATTACCTGAGGAAAGTTAAATTAGTTTAGCTTCATGTACTAAAATAACTAGTGCTGTCAAACGATTAATCGTGATTAATCGCATCCAAAATAAAAAATTTTGTTTACAAAATATATGTGTGTGTACTGTGTATATTTATTATGTATATGTACACAAACATACATGTGTATATTTTAAACATATTTACATGAATATATATTTATATTCAAATATAATTTATATTATATATAAATATTAATATTTTAAATATAAACAAAACATTTTTCTTAAATATATACATGCATGTGTGTGTATTTATATATACATAATAAATATACACAGTACACACACATATATTTTGTAAACAAAAACCTTTATTTTGGATGAGATTAATCGCGATTAATCATTTGACAGCACAAAAAAACAATAAAATATATACATATAAGGCATTTGAGAAGTAAAGGATGAAATGTTTCCAAGGCAGTTTTAATGTCACATTTACAGAAATGAGAGAAAAAAATCTCAGAATATCTTCATTTATGTTCCAAAGTTTGAAATGACATAAGAGTGAGCAAATCATGACATAATTTCCTTTTTTGGGTGAAAATAAAACCCTAGGACATTAAAGTGGCCGAGAAAACACTCACATATGGAGAAATTAAGAGTAATCTAACATGCTGACAATACATAATAGTGTTGCTTTAATTAGCGACAAGGCAACAAATTAATGCAATTTTATAACAGTGCCTTATTAAACAAATCACTTTTTATTTATTTATTTATTTATTTGTTTTAAATCACAGTTTAATGTCAACAGCGAAAGGCCTCTGACATAATGGATAGTTGTGCTTATTTCTTGCTGAGCTAATGATGCTGTACAGTGGGAGACATCAAGGGTGTGAATCGAACTTGTCAGCTGGTTTTCATTTGAAGCAGAGCTCAAGTAGCCTTTGAGAGGCCTGGCCTGACTCTCTCTCTCACTCTCACTCTGCGCTTATGACACATCACTTCAGCTATGCAGAAAACAGCAGCTTTAAAACGTCCACATAGTCAGGAAGAGAATGCAAGTCTTCAGCTTGAAAGATCAAAGAGCTTTTTCCAATGAACACTGTAGTTTTTGGAAGGGATGCTGTTATTTGCTCTAATGGATTCCTTTAACACTTCATACGTCTACTAATCTGAGGTATGAAATAGATGCCTTTGATGTCTCTTTAGGCTTTGTGCAGTGTTCAGTTGTCCTTTGTTTGCTGTCTTTTTGACACGTAGTTTCTGTGGGACAGTATTATTGTTAGATCCATTTCATTGTGCTGTTGAACACACTTGACCTGGTCAAAGCAGGATATGTTACAGTGGAAATAAGCAAATAGTTGTAAAGATAGAAAAGGACATTAAATTGAGATGTAGAGTAATTAAAGCAAAGTTTTATGAAGTAATAATGCAATAAAAGTTAACATTTTGTGTGTGAGAAATAACTGTCACTGTTATCTGTTGAAGATATTGTGGTGATAAAAATGTTCGTTATAATAGTACATGGATGCATGTGTGCTAAACATTCTACACTAGCGTTCAAAAGTTTGGGGTCTGTAAGATTTTGTAATTTTTTTGAAAGAAATATCTTATGCTCGCCAAGACTGCATTGTTTGGTCAAAATACAGTAATATCATGAAATGTTTTTACAATTAAAAAACAGCTGTTTTCTATGTGAATCTATGTTCAAATGTGATTTATTTCTGTGATCAAAACTGAATTTTCAGCATCATTACTCCAGTCTTCAGTGTCACAAGATCCTTCAGAAATCATTCTGATATGCTGATTTGCTGCTCAACAATAATCTCTGATTATTATCAATGCTGCTTAATATTTTTTGGAAACCATGATATTTTCCAGGATTCCTTAATGAATAGCACAGCGTTTATTTGGAATATAAATATTTTGTAATCTTTACTGTGATATCGGATCAATTTAATGCATCATTACTGATTTAAAGTATTAATTTCTTTTAAGCAAAACCAATTTTATTGACACCAAACTTTTGAATGGTACTGTACATATATGTTTTGTTTTTACTGTGGCCATTCGCTCGTGGTGCGTCTGATTGTTGACCTTAAACAACCATAAAGTGTTAAGAATACCCCACAGAGCATGGCAAAGAATGTTGCAGATATTTTGTCAATATCTTTTTTTTTTCCCTGCTTGCTTTTTTAGTCAAAGACCCCTTTCTTCAATCAAAGCCGCCTTTAAGAGAAGTGAGTAAGATGTGATGTACATCTGCCATGTTTTTACATTATATATACAGTATATATATATGGTCAAAATGCTAAATGATCTAAAATCTTCCAGCTTCTGCAAGAGCTCACTCACAACCGGACTGCTCCAGGGAAAGAAGGTGAGCTTACTGCTATAACACACACACACACACACACACACACACACACACAGTGAGAGCAGAAACTGGACCCAGCAGGTGTGTCTGAGGACAGTGATAGGTCAGTAGACAACTGCAACAAAGACACACAAAGACCCCTTTGCCAAAGCAGTCATTGTTTTATGAGTTCACTTTCATTACCTGAGGAAAGTTAAACATTTTCCATGAATGCCTGATGCTGTCGGGAGAAACAAGGATGTTATTTTTGTGTAGTGAAACATGCTGGTCTTGTTCTGCAAGCTTTGTAGTTTAACTAAGTTAAAGGTTTAAATATGCTGAAAATGTGTTCAAAAGTGAAAGAGAGACAAATGAATCCTGTGAAACCAGAAACCTGCTGTAAGAGCTGTTCGACTGGACCTGAGTGATGTGAATGCTGAGCGACATTTCATGAAAAACTGTGTTTGTTGTCATTGTAGCTTCTAGTTCTCTCCTTAAGCTCTGCTCTTTAAAACAGGCTGATCAGGAACGCACCGCACTGTTTAACCAGCCAAACAGAGCGTCACTGCTGCCAGCTGTGATTCAGGATTTAGAAGCTGAATGTAGCAAATGTAGAAAGTTAAATAAAATTGTGCTACAAAGAATTTAGCTCATGCTTAATGCTTTGTGTTTTGCAGACCGCTCAGAAAGAAACAAACCAGAACACTTACATATAAGGTAAGATGGAAACACAATATCCTCACACACCATTTGAGTATTTCATGTAATATGTAAATCAGGGCTGTCAAATCGATTAATCGCAATTCATTGATTTGGCAGCCCTAATGTAAATAAATTAAGTGAACATGAAAAAGATTCTTTTGTTATCATCAGCTAGAAGTTACAATTGTAATCGAGTTGTTTTGCTGATTAAATAATGCTCTAGTCTCTATTTGAATCATGTGAATCAATCTGATTCAACAACTCTGAAATCTCGTGTAGTTTGATGCTACATATCTTTGAATGTTCAGCATCAGTGTAAAATTGTGTAAAAACACTGTCAAAAATGAACCAGCCATTGAGGTTTACAAATTAAATTTTGACCTCTTACAGTATGCATTGCAAGACCAATAGTATATGGACACTCAAACACTACATTCATATGTGCTTGTTGAACATTTAACTTTAAAATAATAGTGAGGCGCTTTTCTGGGATGTTGGAACATGGCTATAGGCATTTTCTCACTTTCAGACACAAGAGCATCATGGGTGTTTGTTTAACTATGGGGACTTCTGGCCCTGTGGTGTTGTAGAAAGTAAACTCTCTAAAAATACACTGTAGGTCATTTAACTCGTCAACTAATAATGTTCAACAGTGAACATGCATCACAGGAGAATTTTGACATTTTTATGAAACAGCCTGGACATTTTATTTTTCTTACCTTGATTGATTTATTCACAGATCACATATTTGGTCTCAAGAATGCTCTTGACTGATGGTAACCAAATACAGAAACTTTATTAGGTATAATAATGTTATAATGTTATATATAGTCTTATAATGTTATCAAGATTTTTACATCAAAAACATCATTGAGAAGTAATAGGCTATTTTCTGTCCTGTTTCATCAGAATGCTCTTTTTGAATGGGCGTGGTGGATTGTAGACTCGGAAGTAAACGCCCACTGCTGTGATTGGCTAACAGTTGTGTGTGTTTGACAGCAACACCCTTCATAGATGGATGCTGCTGTGACTTAGGTTAAAAATGCATAAATACTCAGCACTGCACAGGGTCTTGTTGTCTTCGGAGCATCTTTATCGTTTGGTTTCTGCGTAGACCTGTGTTTGCCTCTTGTTATTTACACTATATGCATGAATCGATGGGCGGAGCTAAACAGGCAGTGATGTAGAAGCAGGCGTTGATCTTCTTCTGCGGAGGCGGGACTTAGCCACACTATTACATCATAAAGTGGCACATTCCACAACCAGTCGTTTTGGCAGATTGGCTTCAATATAAGCTGTTTTTAGACTAATGAGAAAGTTTTGGGTTCTGAAACTTACATGATATTTTTTTATAGTACAATGACCTCTCATATGTCAAAAAAGCAAGGGAATTTTGATTTCTCAGTTCATGACCCCTTTAATATAAATAATTTTGAACATAAAAATTGACACCCTTATGATGGATTTTCAGATTTTAAGTTTGAAAGTGGGACAAGATTAAAACAATTAGTGCTGTCAAACGATTAATCGCGATAATTGCATCCAAAATAAAAGTTTTTGTTTACAAAATATATGTGTGTGTACTGTGTATATTTATCATGTATATATAAATAC